AAAAAAAAAAACGGCTGAAAATACTTTGCTTATTAAGAATTTGAAGCGATTAGGCCTTTTTGCGATTAGTAGATTTTTTGAGGTTGATCGCCCAGGAACGAATGGAGAGCGTGGGAGGGGGAAAAAAGTGAAAACGTAAAATTATATTTTAAAAATGATCAAATCTAAGGCTCAAGATTTTCTAAAATTTTAAAATTATCATGAGTTTGGGGGGTTCTAAGAAGCAAAATACATGATTATCGGGCAAATTCAGGTTCATAAACGGCAAATATTCAGAAACAGTAAACGGAATTCTCCCAAACTTGAGCTTTATCGCTTTCATGGTCCCAAAAATGGATTATCCAGATATGCAAGTACAAGTACAGAAAAAACGGACTTTTTTTCGAAAAGTTCAGAAATAAAGGCACATAATCAACAAGCAAAAAAAGAAAATTCAGCGTTATTTTTTCTCACGACTAACTTTTATAACGAAAATTTTTAAAATGACTTATATAAAAAAACGAAAAAAATCTTCGAAAAATAGTTACAATCCAAAATTTTTGGAATTGAAAATTCAATTTTTTTAAATATATTTTTCTTTCTCAAAACCAAACCAAACATTTACCAAACCAAATTTATGGATATTAAAATATATCAATGTGCACAACATCTGGGATATGTGGGATAAATTCCAAACATTCAATCCATCGAAGGATATCTCCATTCGGTTTGGGGGACCGATGTTTCCTTGATGCAAAGTGGAGAAGTCCAGCGTAGTGCATAATGTGGGCCACCAGCTTTGTCGTTTGTTCCTGAAAAAAAAAAAAAAAAATGCTTTTTTTTCAATCCACAGCATGCTGTGCGTATTATAGTGCAAAAAGACGAAGTCGGAGATGATTTATGAGAATTCCCCATAATTTTCAAAAAAAAAAAATCCAATTTTTTACTTTTTTTAGAAGGAATTTGCCTAGTTTTGTGCCTTTTAAAAGCTAAGGAGAACTCTGCATATGAAGATTCTCTCTTGGAGCATCAAAAATCTGTAACTCTCGCCGTATTCGTTAGAGGCGGAAGCGATAAAACGTGTCCCAAGCGCAACAACAGCAACCACACGTTATACGCATCAACAGCAACCACTCGCTGGTACAATTGTCAATAAGTCCCCCCTTTCGAGGGCAGCTTATAAGCAAGCTGATGGCGATTTTGACTTCCAAGCATAAGCTAGTACCAATTTACCATCGAAACGAATTCCAGTCCAATCCATCGGATTGGTTATCCTACAGGAGGAGCAGAATCTTCAACTCTTAGCACGAATTTACGGCTACTAAAGCATATTTAAAGAACGGAAAAAAATTTTTTTATCAAAGTAAAACAGTGAGCAACAACAACAAAAAAAGAAGTACCACTCATGCGTGCTCCACCGAAGGGCTGTTGTCCAACCACTGAACCAGTTGATTTATCATTTAGATACATATTTCCAACAGCATCTCGTAAAATGTCACGAGCTTTATACAAAAATTCCCTAAAATTGCGCGTGTTAAAAGTGTAGAAACAAAATTTTGCTGCAAAAAAAGTGTAAAAGAGTAGGAAAAAAAAACAACAAAAAAAAGGGGAAAAAAATTTTGCTCAATTTGAATCTGGACCATGGCTAGATGCTCGAATTTTGGTTAAATAAGTAAAAAACTGTAGGTTTTTTTTTCTTCTTTTCTCACTTGTTCACGATTTTCTTGTCTCCCTTCTTCATTTTCTCAATTTTTTTTTTTTTATTTCTCAATCCGTTTTCCTATTTTGCTCCTAAACGATACCTCAGCTTCTTTCTTACTACTCATTTCAGTGTCTTAGCTGAGATCTCCCATTAAGCTGCTCTATTTTTTGTTACCTTTTATTTGCTGAATTACTTCCGAAGTGATTTTTTTTTGGTTCCAAACAAATTATATTTCCAAAAAAACGTGAAAAAAAATGTTGACCTTGAAACATTTTATTAAAAGAATTAAATAATAATTTTTATAAAAGTAAGGTAAAAAATAAGGTAAAATAAGACAAGTAGTAAAAAAATAACTAAAAATAAGGTAAAATAAGCTAACCAACAGGTAAAAATATTGGTTACTACTACTGAAAAATTCAACAACTGCAAAGTTCAAAAAACTAGACCATGAATCAAAAGCGAGGAAAAGTTATTTTTAATTTCGAAAACAACCGTAAACCACCCAATAGTCAAATTCCCCAAAAATACACATTTTAACAGCAATGCCTTACTTGTCCTGAGAAAATACAGCTCCAGTAAGACCGAATGGTGTTGCATCTTTGAGCTTCCTTACAACATCCATCGCTTCGCTGTCTTTGTAGACATAAGCTGTCAAAACAGGCCCAAAAATCTCCTAAAATATCGAAACTTGCATACTTACGAGGTCCTGTCGCGTGGTGTTGAGTTAAGATGTATATGACTTAATGGACCGAAATGTCTTATCTCACTCTTATCTTCTCTTTTCTCATACTGTTTTTTTATGCTGTAATCTATCGCGCCTTCGCCATTCAGGCTTCCAGGGTCAACCTCGTTGCTACAATAGGCTTAATGCTTAACCTGCTTTATTTCTAGGGCGCAAATACACAAAAATTCAACCCTTCCAAAGCAATATTTATCGCTAACAAGATTTTATCTCGACGAGTAAAAGTTTTTTTTTCTGTTTCGTAAAATACCCCATCGTAGCTTAGAAGTGATAAATTTCGAAGAGAAATAATGACCCTGAACACCCGAAGACATCCCTAGTTGCTAAGAAATCGTCAAGTCGGAAGAACTGTTAGGTCCTTGTGTGGTCTTTGACTGCAGCAGCGGAAGACAGTGAAGGGTGGTGCCAGTGCTTTATTTATTAACAGAGCTTCACTTCAGTAAAACAGGCCTCGCACAAACTATTCAACGGAGGGTGAACTTTAGTCGTATCGAGGAGGTCAGTTAGTAGCACTAATCTTATCAGGGCATTGCTCGCGCTGGATTCGAAACTCCAAATCCCAGGGTTTTCGGAAGGGGTTTATAAGGGGTAAATTAATGAAGAGAAAAGGAGAGCAAAGGGAGTTAGTAAGTGGGGGAGGAGGGTGGTGATAGGTAAAGTGGAATTATTTATAATATAGTAGAAGTGTTAGGAATTAGTGGGTGGAAGGAAATAGGCCAGAGAGTTAGGATTACAGGACAGCTCGGCCAGTAACCTTTTCACGAAATGAAAGGAGCAAAATCTTTCCACACGAAAACGCAGGTTGACCACCAGGTGCTGCAACACTGGTTAAAGCAATTAGAAAAGTTGCCAGCTGCATTGGATGAAGAAACACTGTTTCAGGAAATCCAGGATACCACTTTCTGTTCTTAAGATACGGACAAAAAATTTTCTGAACGAAAAACCACCAGACAACAGCTGCTACACTGAGGCACAAAGGAAGGAAACTGAGGTTCACTTGCGCCTTCCAGGACCTGGTTTAGGGCAAAAAACGTAGTCCATCGTGCTGTAATTACTTCTGAATCTAGCTTGTGTTCTC